CCAGGTACATGTATAGGTCTATCTGACTTTATTGTAATTGAACCAGACACAATTTGTATATATATATATTATAATAGTGCACAAGTTTTCTTCTAGAAGAAAATAATATATGACTACAGTATGTACACCCTGTATTCCTGCAGCCTCCATCCGGGACGAAGTGTGTGTACATCATTGATGAGATCGGCAAGATGGAGATGTTCAGCCAACACTTCATCCAGGCAAGCTAGGGGACTTTCTCAGTGGGGTTACAAGTAGGAATAAAGTTAACATAAATGTACTCAATATTAGCCTGATGTCCAGTTTATTTTGGCTTTAGTAGTTTTGTGCCTGTATATAGAAGTCTTGCACAGCATTGTGGTGGGCTAATTGAACTGTCATGCAAAACCTACTGGGGAGCTTAGTTGAGTTGGGCTCCTGCAATCCAGAAGAAAGCCAACCTAATCTATCAGTAATATCCATCCATCCATCCATCCATCCATCCGTCCATCCATCCATTCACCCACCCATCCCATTCACCCACCCAACCATCCATCCATCCATCCATCCATCCACCTTTCTATCCATCCATCCATCCATCCATCCATCCATCCATCCATCCATCCATCCATCCACCTTTCTATCCATCCATCTATCCATCCACCTTTCTATCCATCCATCCATCCATCCACCCACCCATCTATCCATCCAACCAACCATCCATCCATCCAACCATCCATCAATCCATCCATCCATCCACAGACCCACCCACCCACCCATCCATCCATCCATCCATCCATCTATCCATCGTACATATATTTCTATACATGACTATGTAGAAAGAAGAAGCCATGTGGGGAAGTAGCCAGGTATTATAGCATGATATGTACATGTATGTGACATGTCATTTATTCAGAAATTTGGTTAATATACATGTATAACTGTATTTGGTCAAACGAATGCTATTCAGCACCAAGGAGAGGGAGACCGCATGTAAGTGAAGAGTGTAGTAACAATTTTAACAATCCCTCCAAATAATGTGTATCGTATTTCTAGGGTGTTTAGTCTGTCCTCTAGTCTCATTTTTGTCTTCGTCAGAAGGACTATGAAATTGTCTCGCCGGAGTGTGGGGAACTGCGGATTTTGCGATATAACTCTGGAAGGCATGATTCGACGTCCATGATTTTTGGCAGGCAGATTACCGCTGTTAAGGCCGAAGTCAAGTACAAGTTTTGGCTTCGTGGGGGGTCCGTGCGTCACGTTAGTGCACCTTTTGTGTTTGTGGCTTGTTAGCAAGATAACTCAAGTATTTGTAAAATGTTGATTATAATTCTTGGTGTGGTGCTTACTATTGTCAGGACCAAGGTTAAGTTCGTTACTGAGCTTCGTGAGGGGTTTCGTTGTGACTACAGGGGGCATTTTGTTAATTTTTCTTGTGAGCAGGATAACTTTTGTATGTGTGGATGGAAGTTAATGAAATTTGATAGGCATATTACTGTCGTGGTCTCCAAGTATTGAGTTCAAAGATTGAGAGTCGTGGAGGTCGTTATGTCCCCGTAATAGGACCTTTTGTGTTTAGAAATCCCCCACCTACATCTGCTTGGAGACAGCCGACAGCTGGATATAGCGGGGAACCCCATAATGGGATGGGATCAAATAACGTTACATTGAGGGATTGTACTATAACTTCAGCAGGGGGAGGATAGGTTGGACATATGTCAGGTTATTGTCTACGGCCACACCAAGTAATTGCTATGGATGACGTCCACTGGAGACCTTAAATCTAATTACCTTAAATTTAAGGCAAGCGCGCAATAAAAACACGAAGGGCCGAAAAACGAGATGCCTAGATTTGGAATATACTAACTGTAGAAGTACAAATGTTAGGACACAAAGAACACAAGAAACAAGTCTTCTATTTGTTATAAAGACAAATTAACAAAACAGCAGTAGTCACCCTGTTCTGATTCTTTCCTTTATAACATCTTCTCTTATCATATTTTGCGGCGCTGTCGTGACACTTTCAACACAGTAAGAATTTCTTGAACGTTTTTTCCAGTAACAGTCCAAACTCAAATAACGTAGGGGGGGGGGGCTAACACGGGTGACGACGCATCTGTATAATCTGCGGCAAACCGTTTCAGGGTGTTCTGTACCATAAAAATAGTACAGAGATTCTTTTGTTCTTTAGACCAAATTGATTATTAAAAAGATTGAAGAATACGCATGTTAATTTCTCTAGAACGACGTACCTCTGACGAAGACATGAGATCTCCGACCTCTAGTTTACTATGTATATCATTGCGTTAGTATTTCATATATTTCTGTAATTGTTAGTTTAAATGTTGAACTTGAAATTGTTATTTTTAGAATCTAATGTATAATGATATGGATTTTATTGAATAATTTAGCAATTTTAATGTGTTATGATAGATATGTCAAGAAATCAAATTGTACAGCAAGACACAATTTAGCCAATGGCTACAAGTTCTTGCTTGTTTTTACAAATAAACCGTTTGATTGATTGATTGATTGATTGATAACTACATCAAACATGAATTCCCCCTTGGTCTGTCACCCAGGCTGTCCGTCTGGTTCTAGATTCGCCCGGGAGTACCGTCCTGGCTACGCTACCTGTCGCTAAAGGGCGCCCCCTGCCTGTGGTGGAGGAGATCAGGAGGAGGAACGACGCTACGCTATTCACGGTACACAGAACATATATTCTGTACGAAGGATGAAATTATCCACACGTGTTTAACTTTGGTAGATCTTCAGTTGTAGAAGACCATATGCAAAAGTCCCTGTAATTTTTGTTGTGTCAATAAAGAATCTCTCATAACACTTACTGTACATTGTACTCTGTCTGGGCGAACGGGACTTTCAACCAGGAGCCCCTATAGTGGACAACATCGCCGAGTCCATCTACGAAAGCCGCATATATGTGTCAACTATGTCTATTCTTCTGTTTGTTCATTGGCGATGCTGAAGAAGAGTGAAGGATATCACTCGTAATGTCTCAGAAGTACTTTAGTAATCTCCATAATTTATCCAGTAGTAGAGTTTGAATTGTCTATCAGAATAACACTATACGTGCTGGATTTGTTAGAGCAAGGACATTACATTGTATATAGTCCTTGGTTACAGTATGTTGGTCATCAGTATAGCCAGTATGATTGAATGTGTATATCGATGTCACTCACACACTCATGTAACCTTTTAAAATACAAAACTTTTGTCCCTTTTGATTTAATCCAAATTTAAATTTTGTTTGTTACTCCATCACTTTGCTTGACTGTGTGTGTGTGTCTGTCTGTGTTTCTACACATTGTATACACATTTCATGGAGCATTGCCGTACAATTGTCAGTTCTGCTGTTTTCATTTTTGTGTAATGGCAGGGTTGCAAAGCAATATGGGTAAGGGGGTAATGTTTGCCATCTCTGATAGACCTGTTGATAACTTGTTACTTTAAGTCAAAGATATGATGATTCAGTGTTGTCTTGTCCATTTCTCTCACAGGTGACAAAGGAAAACAGAGACAGTCTGGTACCTGAAGTGGTAGCAGCCATCAAGGCAGCCTTGCACTAAGGATCCCGACCAGGTCACATTTTTTCTACTCTCCAAGCAGAGGTTTGGGTTTGGGGTTATTTTTGGCATGTTTTAATTAAACAGCGATCGGGTGTTCCCGGGGAACAGCCCTAACCATAAAACTATATAGGCTTTCCCTGCTGGGCTGCAACAGCCTAAATAGACCCGCGCGCCATCATAAACCGATCGCAACTCCCCGGTACGCCGCGGGACGCCGCGGTCCGCACGAGCGGATCACGTGACAAGAGTACGTGACCAGCATAAACAAACAGCGCTGCACATGGTTTTGATTGGGCGCCATGTTGGAAAGGTCGATGTCTCTAGCTAGACGGAGATTTCGCGATAAATCCGGTTGGTATACGAACGTCATAGACTGGTGTTTTTATAGCTAGCCTCGCCTTGCATGAGAAGGCGTAGAATCGCCAGGCGACAAGCTTTGTCAAAGCTACCGACATGCATAGACAGCCTCGCCTCGTCCGAGAAGGCGTAGTAACGTGACGACAACAAGCCTTGACAAAGTTACCGACATTGTTCGCCATGTTTAGAACCATGTTTATACGCGAAGGAATACCGTTACGCTATTTAGAAAAGCTGGCGTGGACCCGGAGCTTCCCTAGGCCTGATCAGGTGGGTAAAGACGTTCATTTACGCTGCAGTTGTTTGTTTTGATATAGAAGGTTTGAATGTCTTCGTTCGTTTATTTATGTAAATTTGTACTTCTTAGAAGTAGGCCCAAAACGTGTAAATGTCACAACGGGAACATGTTACTGCAGATTTTTATTGACTTGAGTTGTCTGCTTTTTTTTTTTTTTTGTACCACAAAATTGAAGCGAGAATTATGTAAGTTGGGTGATCTGTAAGTTGTAACGTTACTGACGCCGGTAAAGATGGGAGGGGGGCATGTCGGCACATTGTAAACAAAAAAATTATTTCTGGTAGGTCATTCTAGTACAACTGTAACGTTAGCGTTTCGCTTTATCAATTTTTTTTTACTATTTTTAGGGACATATTTGAGCATTCGTCCTCTGTCAAGATGTTTTGTTTTTGGTCGTGTTTTTTTTTCCGCCCGTGAAAGTATGTTATTGTTAGATTTGTTTTCTACGGCGAATTTTTCCCATTTGCTTCCGAAGAAGAATATGGATCGAAGAAAATCGTTCTGTTCCATGAATCTAATGTTATGTTGATTACATCACAAATCTGAAATCACGTTTTACTTTCACGTCATTGGACATCTAGACATGCATGTGCGGTGGAGAAATCCTGGACTTGGTTTTGTTAGTGAGTTGACCTTGAAATACTGCATGTTAGGAAGTAACACATAAATTCATGAAGGCAACAATTTTTACACTAAGCTTACAGAGTTCACAGATAGAGTAACTTTATGTTACAATGTATTTACAAACGATCTGGCTGTTTCATAATAATCCTCAATGTACTACTACAGAAGCACGCAGGCAATCCTGCACTTATACCATTTACATTTAGGGGATCTCTGACTTACAATGTACTAATACAGAAGCACGCAGGCAATCCTGCACTTATACCATTTACAGGGGGATCTCTGACTTACAATGTACTAATACAGAAGCACGCAGGCAATCCTGCACTTATACCATTTACAAGGGGATCTCTGACTCACAATGTACTAATACAGAAGCACGCAGGCAATCCTGCACTTATACCATTTACAAGGGGATCTCTGACTTACAATGTACTAATACAGAAGCACGCAGGCAATCCTGCATTTATACCATTTACAGGGGGATCTCTGACTTACAATGTACTAATACAGAAGCACGCAGGCAATCCTGCACTTATACCATTTACAAGGGGATCTCTGACTTACAATGTACTAATACAGAAGCACGCAGGCAATCCTGCACTTATACCAGCACCTACATTACTGATTTACACATCCTGTTCATCTTCAGAGTAATCACTCCCGCTGTCGGTGTCCGTGTATCGGTCACCATCCTCAAGCTCCTGCTGTTGCTGGCGTTGCCTGCGCCTTGGGGGGAGGGGAGGCAGGCGCTCCAGTGCCCGGACCCTGTCCAGGAATGTCAGCAGGAGGTCACGCAGGAACCTGTAGGTCTTGGCAGTGAGGACCCTCTGGCCCTCGTTACGGCGGGGATTGGTCACGGTGTATCTGAGGTACCTCGATGTGGCTGGTCTGTCCACGTGTTCATTCTGTAAAAAAAAAAGGTACAAATCCACTTGTTATAACTCTCACTCACTCACTCACTCACTCACTCACTCACTCACTCACTCACTCACTCACTCTCTCTTTCTATATATATATCTATATCTATCTATCTATGTGTACATGTATATATGTGTATCTGATTACTAGTTGATGTGACAAGCTATTTTATGTACTATGATTATCTGTCACAGCTTGTGATGCTGATATAAGATACATGTAGTATTATTTATGCGGGGTCAAATGTTTGATGAGAGTACATAATATACACACACATGAATCAGACACTGTGGCTACATACCCAATCTAGCACGGCGAGTCCCATTCGCAGACTGTAGTTGACATCCCCGAAAAAAATCCGCTTGTCAACGTACTGTAGACAGCTATTGTTGAAGGACTCAACATATAGTGTATCCTTGCACTGAAACGGTAATTTCAAAGGCATGGTAAGGCCACACAATTTAATTTGGTCGTTCATGTATTCGCCCACTTCATTTTTTTAGATTTGTTACAAAAAAAATACTTCAACCTCATAATCAACCCCAAAATGATGATACATGTGTATTTTGCCCCCACAGTGGAAGGAAGTCCCTTCTCTTCAGACTTGTTACACTTACAGTTTTTCCATCTATCAATGCAGTGGTTTGATTAAAAGTTTTAAAGTCACTGTTTTCAAATTACAAATCAGCCTGGCATGTTGACTTCATGGCATTTGGGGCATCACAGGATGTGTAGGTCTGTTTTAGCTGTTCTTTTTCTTTCGCCTTGTCGCTTCTCATGTTTTTTTCTGAAAAATCTGAGAACCAACAAATCAAACTGATGTGGTCTAAAATGACTGCATTGAGAAATAGCTGAAAGGAATATCACCATGTATGATTAATCTTTGTACAAATATACATGTACAACTTACATGTGGTTCCCTGCAGTCAGTAGACCAAGACAGGTCACACCTACTAAACAGGGGGATTACTAAGATTCATAAGAGGAGCTGTACATAAAGAATCACTGTGCAGTCACTCTAATTGTCTATATAGAATCTGGTTGTTGTTGAGATGTGATTGGCATTTTCAAACATGAACAGCATAGCACGGCAACAACCTGTTTTAGATGTATGGTAATATTAATGATAATCTTACCAGCACGTAGTCCTTGGCATTCTTGTAGACATCTTGTTTTGTTATGAAGGTTCGGAGCATCTCTACCGCCCGCTGGTCCGTCAAGATGAGCCGTTTTGGGCGGTAGTTTGCATCAGTTCTACACCTCGACTCTCGGTGGCAGTTCTCATGTTGGTTCTGTGGGCATGTGTGAAGTTATGAGCTGAACAAGATAATTGACTCTGTCACTTGAATTTTTGAATAGAAAAGGCTGTTGCCTTAGGTTATATCATTAACAATGACTAGGGAAGGGTCTTGCTTTCTGTAATGATTGGAAAATATATGCTACCTAAGACTAGTAGAGTTGTCTACGGTAGCAACATAGAATAGAGGTAACAAAGTTATTGCACAAGCTTCAGTGCAGTCAAAATGCATTAGCTATGAAATGTTGGTGTGATTTTATAATTGAATTCAAATACACTGTACTCCTTGTTATACTAGTAGTATGCCTGTATACACTACATAAATTCAGTTCAAATGAGAGCATATGTATGCTGCACAAAACTATTCTTGCTGTACCAAACCTGTGTACATATAAATACCATGATAACAAATTTGTATTTTATTTTATTTCAGGACATTTGGTGCTTGTCCAAAAAGACTCACTTGATAGTGCTCCACGATGTTGAGGAGCAGGTCCCTCAGCACCTGCTCACTGCCCCCGCAGCGTGCCATGCACCAGTAAAAGTGGGTTTTTACTGGTGCGCCTACACGTACAGGTAGAATCATGTTATTCAGCTTTTATTTACTATGTTATACAAATAAGATTCATGTAAATGTATTTTCTCCAATTTTACCCAGTGGTTTGTCTACTGTTCATTCTGTTCCCAATGGGACATTATGTTTTGAGTTACATATTGCCATTTTACATATTGGGACAAATTACCTCCGGCAATTTTGATTGTTCGATATGCAGAAAAATACCTTTATCTGCCAGCTGCGGGTGCCAGGTCACTCCTTGGCTCCTCCTGGCTCCACTGGACACTTTCTTGAATTTCCTTGCGATGGCCTTCGTTGCTGTAATGGATGTAAAATACATAGTATTCATTGCCACAACAGTGAACTATTTCCTGCCCCCCACAGAATATATAGACACATTGCCATGTATACGAGTGGTAGATGTTAGCTTACCGTGCCAGGTGTCATTTGAGTTGTTCGTCTTGCTGCCATCGGGGTACTGCGGCCTCTCCCGGATTAGTTTGTTGATCACGGCACTCCGGTCGTGCGCGTGATCAACAATCTGCACGCCTGTTTCAACATAGGAGAATAACATGATAAAGTTAGTGGCACAGTAAAAGCATTGCTACGGTTGAGCTAGACTAATGATTCAAACAATGTGTTCCGTTGCTATGCTAACACTGTTACATTGTTGTCAGTGAAGGATGAGATGTAAAGAACCTATATACAAACCTAGTCCGTCAAAATGTTGATAAAGCCTCCCAGTCCCCACGAACTCATGCTTCTGGGACGACCGCTCTTCTTCTTTTGTTACAGGCATGTGGGCCAGGACACGGTGATTGCTGTGAAGAAGAGGTTGGAAGAGTTGACAAGATGAAGATCAGGATGTAGTTATAGGTTTTCAGCTGTGTAATCATGTTATGAAACATAGTGGTGCAATACATGACAGAATGCATCATAGAATAAATTCCACAGTACCGATGCATTTCAATAGGGTTGACAGTAGGGTTTATATAGATGTTGACAGAACAAAAAGGAATAGAGTAAGTAGGAAATTCATAAAAACTCTGAATGAATACTACTACCATTAGTACTGGGTTTTAAAAAAATACTTGGTGGTCTGCTAAGTCTGTGTTGGTACTATCATCAAATGTGAAATATCAATAGTTAGGCGATTACCCTACCTCTGGCCCAATGCCATGATGTCGGATCTATGTGAATTCCGGCGCTGTGCATGGCGCGCATCAGTGACAATGTTCAGCAACTGTTTGTTGTCACTGATGCGCCGCTCTGATTCCTGTGAGAGCCAAGAAGTCAATTGTAAATTATAATGTGTGTTGTCTTCAGTTTGTACATATCAAGACAATTTCTCATACAAACATTGAGTGAACATGCAAAGACCAGGACATAACTTCTCTCCTGCATGGCGTGCCTATTAAAGGTAACGTTATCACTGTCTTTACCACGTTTACTCAACTTTTCTCTCTTCCCACTTTCTGAACCATAGCACTAGTAACACGTACAGCAGAAAAGGTTTGGGTAAAGTAGTTACTTGTGTATGACCTGAAAAAAAAACAGTCAGTGCTCAATCGATCTGTTGTGATACTAGGCGACTACCAGGTACCTGTTCATAATATTACAGAATTTATTTCCACAATAAAAGAGTCTGATGCTAAGAATAATTGCCTAACCTCATTCATTGCATTCAGCATCGAAGCCTCCTTCTTCTCACGTACGACTTGTCCATACAGTATCATACCTGGAAAAGAGCAATAGGTGTCAAATAATCAAATATCTTATTACCTGACATACTGTAGATATTTAATGCTAAGATGAGATGTATCACTTCAAAGTGAAAGAGACTATAGGTCAAATCTTGGAACATAAACACTTGTATGTCTTTTGTATTGTCTTATTTACAATGAAATAGACTGTAATACTAGTATATGATTTACACTGTCATGTAAATATGACATGCTACTAGTATTCTGAATAGCACAATAGAATCTGTATGTCTTCTGTTACTTTTGCCTTTTATACCACTAAATACACTCGCACAACTCTGAATTACAAATGTACTAATACTAGTAGTATGTAGTAGAAAGAAGTATGATTTCTTACTTTTCTTCTGGTTTTCTTCGGATATCATGCCAATTCCACCATTGGTACATATGCGTTCATACTGGTTTGGCAAAATGCCGCTGGACATGTAGGCATGTGCCATCCTGGGGAGAAAAAAGGTGTCATGTAAATACATGTACATGTATTTAGAAAAAAAGATCAGGAAATAACTAGCCTTCTGCATATGTTGTGAAACAATGATTTATGCAAAGTTATATTAGTTTGGTTGTGATTTGGTTGTGAAAGAGTATAACCATATTTTATTTCATTTACTTTCTCATAATGTTGAAATGATATGGAGGCAAGATTGTGACTATGTAGCGTGTTATTTTTTTTCTCGAGAACTATGCCTCAATCTGCTTGGAGACATCTGCTTCCTACACAATGAAATCCGACCAACAGAATCTCCAAGCAGATACGGGGACCGGTAAACATGTCTTCACTTGAAGATCAAACAATGGACTAGATGCAGAGCAAGGGACAAACCCAACTATACCCCCTAACATCTGCTTAGAGATTTCGTACACAGTAAAATCCGGCCAGCACAATCTCCAAGCAGATACAGGGACCGGATTTTTTATTAATTATAGTATGTCTGTAAACATTTACTTGAAGATCAGACAATGGAAAATGTCCAGAGAAAGGTGTTGAAAAATCACTTGGAGGTCAAACAATGGAACAGAGAATTCGAGAAAGGGACAAACCTGACTATTATTACCCCCTCCCTCCCCGCACTTCGTACACACAAGGACATGATGTCATTGGTGGTTTGTTTGGGTGAAAAAAAAATCCAGTGCAAAAAAGAAACCCCGATAAAAAAAGCCTAAAAACACACCAAAAATATAACAAACCTCTGCTTGGTAAAGTAAAATCCCACCACGAAAATCTCCAAGCAGATACACGGACGGGACGTTCGTAGTAAAGTCTGTGTAAACATTTACTTCCCAAAAATAATGGAACAGACACAGCGCATTAGAAATGGACAAACCCAACTGGACGCACCCTTATAATATATTACGAAGACCTTCCATGAAAATAAATTTTCAAAATATTTGCTCACCTCAGGTTCACCAAAAAAGGTTGACCGATATGCGGCGATGAAGTCCATTGGTGTGAACAGCCCCGGCGGCATCTGAGCTTGACAATCCCCGTGTGTCCCCGGAGAAGCAGGCTGTCTATCCGGAGGTCCTCTTTGCAGCGGCTTGAGTGGTGGCGGGCTGTCTGTAGGAGGTGTTTCAGGGAGTCTTGCGCGGTGATGAAAAGCTGCTGCTCCCGCCTGTCGTCCTCGCAGCGCTGGTAGTCGCAGTGCGGGGATGGGGATGAGGATGACGAAGTGTTCCGGCCGTGCGTCCACAGGTAGCAGTCGAGCAGAGACCTCATCATCTCGGTCGTAGTCGTATCTTGAACGCTGCCCATCAACTCCTTCACTTGAGTTATTTTGGCGGTCATTTCAGCCTTGGCAGCCTGTGCCTCCTCCAGTGTACCAGGAAACATACAGTCAAAACTTTTACGAATGTTTCGCGTAGTCTCCTTATACGTCCCGTCTGCCCCCAACCGCCTCTTCTTCAGTGGGCCGCGGTTGAGGCAAGGAGCTCCTCGGTTGAGGGTTGTCAGTGGTCCACGCGGCTGACCCTCCGCCATACTGACACCGAGCTGTGAACCTCTCGGAAACTTTTGGCGGACTGAATTTGGCGCTTTTTTGTCTTTATAATAAACTCTTTCGAGGTATGATGGGACCTGATATTTTTTTTTATAAAGTGACAGTAATGATCACTGCTGAATGTTGTGTATGTTAGTAATTGAAATATGACAGACGCTTGTGAAAAAGATAACTTTATTTTAGTACAAAACAGTTGTACATGTCGAAAAAGTTGACCTCGATACTAGGAAAGTATTGTTCATGGCACAGTTCTCGTGTCCAGTCTAACACCTAGTCGCGAAAGGTCAGAAAAGCGGAAGAAACGTCATTGACTTCCTGTTCCCACCAAAATCATCATTGTGCAGTGTTGAGAAGATGGCGGACAGACGGCACATTACGTTGTGTGTTACACCAGCGGGCGAGGAGTACATCAGGGGATTTATCCAGCACTATGGGTTCGAGGAGGGAGACGTGGTGGAGGTCAACAGTGGCCCACACCATCCCCACCCCGATCTCCCGGCCGATCCACCGCCCGGAGAAGTGCATCCCGACCCAGATTCCGACCAGGACGACCCGCCACCCCCCGCAGCCGGAGAAGTCCAGGACGACCCACCAGCCCAACACGACGCGGATCAGGCTGGTCCCGCTAACCTCATCCCTCAGGCAGACGGGGTGGAGGAATGCAGGCGCTGCCTTTGCAGGCCATGTGTCACCACCCCTGAGCCTTTGTGGCTGGGGGAGCAACCAGCCTGTGAGGCAAACGCGGGCCTGAGGAAAGAGAAGTACAAAAACTTCTGGGCGATCATGGCCAACATGGACCCCAGTCCCTGGTACGACGCCCGGTACCGCGCAAAGAGGGAGCGGCGACTAGCCGAGGACGCAGAACGGGCTCCCGACGTCAGGCGGCTGGTCACCACCGGACGCGGATCTGCCAGGGACATCATGCCAAAATGTGTCCTAAAACTTGTTCGCGCCAAGTTCCCCAACCCGCCCGGGAAGCCTTACCTCGGACACAAGTGGCTATAGTAATATACCACTTTCAGTTTCACCCCGGCCCTTTTCAGGGCCACCTGTCTTACCCCGGCCCTTTTCAGGGCCACCTGTCTTACCCTGGCCCTTTTCAGGGCCACCACATGATCATCAAAGAGCTGTATCGTATCAATATTCATTTCATTTGTTTCGTACAAAATTATTAAAAACTATGTATGCATTGAAAAACATACAACATAAACTGCTGTATGTGTTAGTACATCAACATTGTAATGTCTTGGTGAGACGCCGATTGTCACATGGACCAGATAGAAGTTGACCGACAGCTTCAGGTAAGTTTGAAGTGACATTGAAAGGTAAGCGGTTCTGTTGATCATAAGATTTATGTGATTCCTTCTTTCTTTTTGGCGCGCATCTTTGGCGCGTAAACAAGACAACGTGTTATAAGACGGTCAGAGGTCGCGACCTTCGAACTGTAAACAGGAAGTCATTAGCATATTTCGGTTGAGATCTGGAGTTTGAAAGTTTGCAACAGTTTTTGACATGTTTGAGCTGAATTTTTTATTCAAACAACATGACGGGGCAAAAGGTAACGATTCTACTGACTGTCGTTGAGCTATTATTTAGATAGCACATGTACAAGAGCACAATTCTATAGATTCTAACGTGACAAAGCAACAGAAAAATCGAAACTGCTTGATAGCGATCACATGCATTTTTATTATAAAAACAACTTAGGACAACCATTTTCCCTGTTCCCATTTTCCACTAACTTACTACTAGTAGAACTGTTTCACTGACGGAATAACCGCTTACTCTCCGTGATGAATTATGTACTAGACTACAAACACCAACAAACGTTCGGTGCGGTGCGGTGCAGATTGGCTCTCGGGGAATGGCGAGTGCCGTGCCGAAAGTAACGGTCACCCGTAACGGTCCGTGCATCTAACTCAAATTGTTGACTAGTCGCTTTATTTTTCCGTCAAATGTCGGCACTACATTGGAAATTGCACCAAGATATTTCTGGATAATTATTCAATGTTGCACAGCATAACGATGCACATGTATTATAAATGTGTGAAACCCTCAGTACAAGCGGGACTGGCATCAGGCTTTCCGAAGCGGTACTGGCAATTACTCGGCGGCCGTGGCACATTTCGCCGTGCGGGACTGCACCGCGGGCCGGGGCAAGCTATCCCGTAACGTTCGGCTGCCGCTACGTTCGTGATTTTTTTTGAGAGACGTTTGCAGTTTGAAGTTGACACATACTCATCACACAAAGACCAGTAGAGTTGTTATATTAGCGTGTAACGTGGTTTTGAAACACTCATTACACCGGGAGCTCTCTCCCCGATGTGAACACCACGAAGGTTTATGTCAGACTGAACCCCGGTTGTTTATGTTACGCCTTTTATGGTGGTAGGGTCAGGTCATTTTATAGTGCAACCTTCGTTTTTAAGGCTTTTTTATCGGGGTTTCTCTTTTGTCCCACCAAACCCAACCTCTGCCGGCACTCACCCCGGGGCGGGGCAAACCTATTCAAGAAACGTGACAGTGCTCCTCCCCGGGAACCATCAAATTATCATTAGGGATATCCATTTTACTGTCACAGTGGTGGATTATCACACATCTAGCCAGTCAGAAAGGCATTCATTTGGCCACACACCACCTGCTGTGCTGACTGTGCCTATTCATTCGTCTGGTTCACACCTCCTTGCAGAACGACTGAAATGTGTTGAAGTGATTAGGTTTATAGCCCATTGAAGCTTTGACTGCCGGCAGAGGTTGGGTTTGGTGGGAAAAAAATTCAGTGCAAAAGAGAAACCCCGATAAAATAGCCTAAAAACACGCTAAAAATACCCCCAAAACCCAAACCTCTGCTCGGAGAGTAATTTTTCATGTCTGAGGCCACACCAATTCAATCAATTGATTCCTGAATTTGCCTGCTTTTTTTTTTTCTTCGCAAAAAAAGTCTGGTTCTGAATCAACTCCAAAATGCTCAATACATTGGCCCCAATAGTCGAAGAAAGTCGTTTTCTTCCTAGTTGGTACAGTTTTCCCATCAGTGCAGTTGTTTGTTAAAAAAAAGTTCAAAATTCATACTAGTAGTTTGAATTGTAAGACAGCCTGCAGCTGCAGGTACTACTAGCAATAGTATATTGACTTCATGGTTCTGTCATAGCATTTGGGGCTATAATAGGCTGCCTATTCTTGTTTTTCTGCCGTCGTAAAAAAAATCCAAGAACCAACAAATTTAATTCGTGTGGCCTTAACATGTGTTTGTGTTTTGCTTGCCTTCAGATGGAATACAAACAGGCTGTCATAGGCTGGCAATGTGTCTATAGCAGTGACACCTGTGCTGCAGTGCAATGTGGACCAGTGAGAACTGCCCTGAGGAAGGTGACAGATGGTCACCGAAAGGTCGGCTGTGTATTAAACTTTTGGGTTTGTAAAAAGAGCATTTTTACTCATTGGTATCCCCATGGTAGTGGGCAGGTTACTCAAAGATTGCTTTCGTGGATGTTTTACATATTGTTATTACTGTCAATGTTAGTACTATACATGCTGTATGTCACTTTACCTGGTGACTCAATGACTTAAAGGCATCCAATGCAATTTCAGGGTCTCAAGACTGGATTTTCTAAGTTAATTTTCAGGTTTCTTTTAGTGTAGTAAGTTGAATCATCCCTATCCCATGGCATATTGATGTCTGTGATGTGCAGTTTTGCTGACAGAAACCGGTTGCTTGTTTTGTAGGCTGGTTTAGCTATTTATAGGTTTTAAGTACATGTATGTCAATTAAAATGATAATGAACAGGTGCTAAGAAATGGCAGTAAATGTCAGTATCAGACAGATTTCCTCATCCAGAATTTGTCTGTTTGGCCACCCTGAAATTGCATTCGATACCTTTTAACTATTAAGGCCACAGCAAGTAAATTTTATGGATGACATCCTCTGCATGCAGACTCCAAATCTAATGCGAGCAGGCAAAAAAACAACAAAAAAAGGCTATTTAGGCCGAAAAAAACAAGGTTTCTACATTTTAAAATTTTGACTCAATGGTTTTGACTAAGTGGGAACATCACATATACACAGCCAGCATCACATATCACTGCATCAAAGTAAGAAACAAAACATTAAATCAGAGCCTTTTCTTGTCTCCTCTCTTCATAGTTATCTGCCATCCACCTTCCGGCAAGGCAACAGACATCTTTGCCCATTTTCGGCATGTTGACCACTGTCAGAAGGCAACAAATTTTTTTTTCCAAAATCAGGCGAAATTTATGCACACGCTGATGTCATCCATTAAAATTACTTGCTGTGGCCTAAGTAATGATACAATGTCATCATTACATCATCATTACCATGTATGATGAAAAGTTGACAGATAAACAATGTGAAACACAACCCTTGGTCTTATTTCTTACTTTATTTCTTGTGAAAATACTCTTGCATAGAGCTGTATAAAGTACTGAAAACATACTTGAATAGAAACCTGTTGAAGAAGACATTAATGTTAAAGATAGAAATTTTGTATCCCTAAGAACATATGACAAGTGGCAACTTTCAGAAACATCCTAAAAGGAAGTTAGTGTATAGCATAAATTTAAAATAGCATTGAATCAGATGTGAATCACATTTAAAGTAAATTGTGGCTGTGTTGCATTGGTTGAAAAACAATAAAAAAAAGCAAAATTCAGTTATTAAGAAAGTACAACTCTCCTTTAACCAAGTGAGCAGCATTTTATTTGCATTCTGGGATTATCTCCAAGCAGATGTTAGGATCGAGCTGATCATTCTCAGTGTTTATTGCTTGTTTTTGTAACATTTATTAAAAAAAAAAGTGCTCCTTTCTAGTTGGAGAATCCAAAGAGTTAAAAAGGTTCACTATACAAAAAATATGTACTTGTA